AAGTAAAATTAAAACTATATTAAAAATATTATTAATTTAAAAAAACTAAAAAATATTAAAAATATTAAACTCAAAAGCCACAAAAAAATTAATGAAAAGTCGCGGATACGTATTTCGGAAACAATGTTACCATTATCAACGCTAAACACATACTGACACCCCGACTAGAAAAAACTCCCTTATATACCCCTAGTGACCTTATCACCTAGTGACGTTATCACTAAGTAATATTATCACATTTTGCCAGTTTACACAAGTTTAATAATGAATTTTTCAGTGGGCCAAGATCCCAATTAATTAAATTGTTTTTATTTTTAAACATTTCTATTGCTTCTCTGATATTAAGTTCTTTGTAATTATTTACGTTTTTAATTAGTTTTATGGTTTTAATAGAGTGATTATGTGTCAATAAATGTTCAGCCACTGGAGATTTCTCAATTTCTTGATTTTTAATATTTCTTAAGTGCTCTTTAAACCTGACCCCTATATTTCTTTTTGTTTGTCCTACGTAACATTTATTACAACTTTCACATTGTATTTTATAAATGCCTGATTTCCCCCCTTCATCTACCTTATCTTTAGGGTTACCTAATAAATCTCTTAAATTATTACTCTTAGATGTTACCAAATTTTGAAAATATTCCAAAAATACTGTGTCCTTTAAACATATGTCAAATTAAAGCTTATGTCATATACTATAAAATTAAAAAAAAAATTTATCCCAACGACCTATCTTCTATGCGCAAATGGCTACCGTATTCAAAAATATGCTATTTATGTATTGAAATTTTGGGTTTTGTATTTTATTTTATTTTAAAATATCTTATTATGGGTATACACTGACTTTCATGAATATTATATAATTTAATTGACATAAAATAAAGTTCATAAGACAAGATATTAAACTTATTAAATTTTTTTAATTTTTTAAAGTCGAAAAAGTAATTTTTAAATTTAGTTGGCTTAAATAGCCATTTTTTTCATGCGACGAGAGCAACAAACAGTTATAGAATCGGTAACACTTGTGTCTTTCACGCTAAGGGTACGAGGTTCAAATCCATCTGTACCAATTAATANCTTGATCTTTAACGCCTAGGGTACGAGGTTCAAATCCGTTTGTGGCTTCTAAAATTTTGCATTTTTTTTTTGAGTTAGAATAAAATTTTCAAATCATTTGATATTTATCTCATTTAGATTCAATAACTTCAATAAATATAAAGGATCCTATCACTATAGTCTCCCCTCGTGAGAAGAAATTTATATTCATGTTAATATTATTTTACTATGTGGTTCTTTTTGTGGCTACGAATTATTTTGCCAACCCTCACTAGATCTACTTTTTTCAACGAAACGTCAAATGATTACAATTCGTATTTAGTTTAAGTTATTACTCTTAAAAATCGAAAAAATATTCTTTATTCAAATAAAAAGTAGCTTAACCAGCTTTTTCCATACAAACAATTAAAATCATTAATATCTTATATTCTTGAAGTATTTATTTTCGAATTAGATTTGATATGATAAAAGTATTCAACTACAATAATAAATAATTTTACTTATTAATTTTTTAAATCTATTTGTGTGTGCTACTACCAGTCTATAATATTCCATTTTTTTTTGTAACATGTTGCTATATAAATCATAAATTTAATAAAAAAATGATTTTTAGTTTCACCTGAATTTAACGATGAATTTTTACAATTACAATCAAGTATTATAATACGCTCAATTGAGTAAATCTTTTTAACAACTTTTTTTTATTGGTTCTTTTAGTTATAGTAAATCAAAATTAATTAAGTTCTAAATATTTCCATTGTAGAATCTTTTTACNTAATTAAGTTCTGAATATTTCAATTGCAGAATTTTTTTAAACACCAAAAGTTAATTAGAAATGATTACTATGATTTTTATTTAAATGATCTATTACGATAAAAATGTAAAAAAAATCGAACTTTTCTGATAAATGTACTGTAAATAGTAATTATAAAATTTCCGNTTTTTTTTTATTAAAACTTTCACTTTAAAGAACAAAAAGAAGTAGGTTCAAAATGATTACTTTTAACATATTAAAAATCAATAATAATTTGAAAATAATTAATTATAAAAATTATATAATATATAATTAAAATAATTACTAATCTGGATATAATTAAGGAAATAGGAGTTGATGTTGGGTTGGGTTGGTTACATTTTTAACTTTATAATGCTATAACTCATTGAAAAGTGTACGAATCAACACAATTTTTTTATGAGAAATAATATTTTTTAATAATCCCTTTTTCATTCGACATACTTTATCTTAATCAGGGTATTAATAAGAAACTAGCAGATAATGTAGCTTTTGTAATTATCCACCAATTTCTTAGAATTAAACACTATCTACAGATTTGCATCAAAGCGTTTCTTATAATAGTGATTTTAATCACTGTCAGATTAAATCTATACTGGACCCAACTATGCACGTCTCCACTATGCCGCAACCCCACTGTGCTGAGTTTTTTTTCATATAAGATTTATTTGTTGGTATTTTTCTTTGTACAATTTTTTTATTTTATACTACTTATTGCATTTTTTTAATAAGTATTACTTGATAGTGAAGCCGGAAGATAGGTAATTTACTTAGGTTTATTTTAGTGACCGTAAATACCACTTGTCACAGGAAAGCAATTTAACATTTTGATTTAAAAACTATTGAATCGGTTTTGATAAAAATTCTGTGGGACTAATTTAAAAGCTTGTCTTTTAAATAAAAAGGATTTTACGAAAATGGTTTATAAATGGCGGAGTTTTGAGGTAATAAACATAAAAAATGCAATCAAATTCATAACCTCCTAATTTTTTTGAAGTCTGTTAAACCAAATTAAAAAAAATTATGTCATATGGGTACTACAGTATTCAATCTGGATTTCGAACTTCATCGAATAATTAAAATGCATTCTTACTTAATTTATTGAAAGTTTTTAGTTTTATCAATATCATTTTTTAACACTTTCGTTAAAATCTTACCATATTCAGTATATACAAAGTGTTCAATAAGTAAGGAAACGGCTGTTTATAATTCTTAGTTTTTAACAATTGATTTGTTTCCTTACTTTTTGAACATTTATATATCGACTATTCATTGCACAAATAGATACTTAATGACTGACCGGCTGTCGTAAGTGTATCAATTTTTAACCATAATAGTCTAAAAAAGCTCTTGACGGTTCACATACTATTCTATTGTACAAGTATATCATTCTTAGTAAATAATTAAACATTATCGTGTACACTTTAGTAAACATGACAAATCATTTAGGATCAGTAAGTAAAGATTTCTATTGTTTTTAACCATTACAAAAAAAAAAAAGTTATTTTTAATTTTAAGTAACAACTTGAAGTTACTTATTGAGTTATAAGCTATTTAATACATTGAGAAGGTATATAGCGCATGTTTTCAACCTTAAATTTGTAATTGGTTCATCAATTTTTTTTGTAAGAAAAAAGCTAAGGAATTGCTATTTTAAAATTTCAAAAAAATCTCCTTGATCACTCTAATAAATAAAAATTTTTTTTAGTTTCAAATAAATATATACAATATAAATAACAATATCCAGTCAGTACTCATCTAATGTTTTACTCATAGCACTATAATGTTTACAATAATTAACTATTTATGCTCAATTAATACATTTATTTTAGAATACAAGAATGTTAAATTTTTATTATAGAAATTAAAATAATAATAATATATAAATAAAATATTTATTAATCGTTTAACAAAAGTATAAACATATACATATAAAAAAAAATTTACTTAAAAGTAATACACTAAAAAGTTTTAATTTTATTTTAAATAAATAAATGTATAAAACTCTTCAACAAAGCTATTTATAGAAGTAAGATAGTCTTTTATAAAATATTTTTGATTTCGTTTAAAAGTACAGACCCAACAACCATTTTTTCACAATTGACAGTTATAGTTAAAGTGGAATCTTGAATTTTCACTGTTAATAACACTAAACAGTTTGAAGAGAATGTTTGACCAGAAAATCTAATTGTTGATAAAAAATATATTATTTACTCAATTTATAAAAATAGTTAATATTTATCAATATTTTCAAAGTATTACCTGAATACATTATCTCTTTCAGAAACATTTGTTACATTAGCGACTTCAAATATAGCTTTTAAAACATTAGTGTTCTTATTATAAGGAGAAACTTTTGCTACATGTTCATTCATTCCTTTTAGTTTTGCTAAAAATAAAAAATATACGTTATTTTTATATTGAGTATTGATAAGTTAGAACAATTGTACAATAATTTCCTTGTTAGCAAATACACATTCTTTTTTTTACAAAATATTAAAAATTAAATTTTAAGCAACTTTTAAATTAACATATTTTTTGTAATTATTACGATTTATTGTATATATTTAAATTTTCGAATTATATTAATTTCACTGGTAAAAATAATTTTTTTAACTTTTGACTACTGGGAGGGGGGGGCTAAATATTTGACTTATGACTTTATTTGTAATAAATTTGTGTTACTAAACTAGTTATATCTATAATTTCTTTTATATATATTTTTACATATAAATAAAATTTTTGAGATAAAGTACATTAAGTAAAAACTATCCTTATGACCAAATTTTTAATAAATTTTATTTATTACTACCTTGTTCATTTAAAAACTCTTCTTCAGATATAGCTAAAGGTTGTAAAAGTTCACCCATAGGAGCACGAAAAATAATGTCACTTTTACGTTCCATACCAGACAAGTACCAAAAAACTTCCATTACAAGTGGCTGAGTAGAATCTTTAAAGTCAATTCCTAGTGCACCCAAAACAACAGAGCCAGGTAATAACTGAATAACTGGTACTGAATTATGAATACTCAGATCAGAACTCTTTAAATAATAAAAGAAATTATGTTAAATTATATAATTAAATATTTTAAAGTAAAAAATGCATTACTTTTTGAATCAAACGAATATTAGTTAATGCTTCCTTTTGATCATGATTAGTATAACTCAACTCAACATTAACCATTGTGTTAGAAAATATGTGTGAACTTCTTGTAAAACGTGCTAACATGCTTAATTCATTATGACCTTTAATTTTATTTAAAATTTCGGTTTTTATTGAAGGTACAAATTTAGGTGCAATAACCTATAAATAAATATACAATAAAATTGTATAAAAAAATAATAATTTGAAATAAATTTATAAATCACTTGTTTTAAAACTGAGTTAGGAGGTTGATTAGTTGATAATTGATTATTAGCTGGAGATAGAATACTACCCATCGATGGCAACAAAGTTTGACTAGTGGGTACAACTAAAATTAAATAGAATTAAACCATTTTATTATTTGTTACACTGATTAGTGTTCTAAACATACAATCATCTAAGGCTAATAACAAATCCACATTGCTTGTAGGTTCGATAATTTTTGTCATTTTTTTGTTCACCATTTCATCTTCACTACTATCACTTTCTACAGACTCACTATCTGAGCTACTTTTTTCTGAATCATTAGAGGTACTAGCAGTTTTGTTCTTCTTAATTGTATAAAAATAATACATACATTTTTTACTTAAAATAATATATTAAATATTTATTGTTCAAAGTTATTATAATATATAATTTCAAAATTATCATAATATGATAATTTTGAACATAATGAGAAATTAAATAATCAAAATATTGTTATCAATCTTGAACTTTAACAATAGAACACAAAAATATAATATATCTATATAATTAATTAATCCAAATTTAGCTCACTTGGCTAAAAATTGACAGTGTTGTAATATGTAATAATATGCTATATATACAAAGTGGAAGAGATTTATCAAACTTAAGACTTTTGATATAATTATCATTTTTTTAAAAATAATTTTAGCATTCATAGATTATGTTAAAAGCATATTTTTATTATTTATAATTAACTTCTGAGCTACTACTACTACTAACCATTTAGGGTTTATCGTTAACTTACAATTTTATAGAATTTTTACAGTAGCTAACGACTTGATATAACTTCATTATTGTTGAGAAAGCCAGTAAAGGAGCAAGATGTGCCACTGTTAAATCTCCTATATGGTCACCCATTTGGGAACCAACAGCAAATAATGCAGCTAAACACCAAGGATACGGTGGCAACTGAAAGATCCACTGTGTCACACCAAATCATTATTATTTATTTTTTTTTAAATAGCCTTTATTAAAATAATATTTAGCTCAACAATTACCAAATCATTATATTTTTATTATTTTCTAATAATAAAAAAAAATTTAGTTTTTAATTTTTTTTTTTTAAAGCAGTTTTTTATAACTTTTTACAAAAAATGTGAAGTAAATATTGTAGGTATATACAACTCATATTAGTATACTATAATACTTATAACTCAATAAATATTTTTCCTAAAACTGATATTGAGTCTGAATTTTATTGTAAAAAGTGCTAAAAAGTAGCTTTAATTTTTAAAAAAATTATTTTTTATAAAAATTAATAATACAAATATGCACTTTACATAGTCTATGAATGCAAACACTATTAAAAAATTTTTTTAACAAAATGATATTTGTATCAAAAAAAGTTCTGCTACTTTTTATAGAAATATACAGAATGATCAAAATTTGATGTGCAAAAATGTTTCTCAATAATAAATAATATATTATTAAAATGAATATTGCTGCTATCAGTATTATAAAATTAAAATAATGATAAATTTTTACTTGAAATACAAATCTTTAAACAATATTTTGTTTAAAACTTTCATTGTATTATTAAAAATCAATAATGCTTAAAAAATTTTCAACAAAACAATCANAAAACTTTCATTGTATTATTAAAAATCAATAATGCTTAAAAAATTTTCAACAAAACAATCAAACCTGATATATTCATATATCAGGAATTCTTTATAATACTGACATTGTTTAAATAAATACTTTAATTTTCAGCCAAGTTAACTAAAATTTAAATAATTTATATTCAATTTTAAAAATACAAACCCAACCCAATCATACATAAAGATATCAAACTGTAACTCAAATTTCAAAACTTCTATTTTCTTTTTACAATGGATATATTTCATAGCTTATCTTAAAAATACAAATAAATTTTTCAATTTTGCTACTAAATTATGAATTTGCAGTAAAAGAGTAATTTTAAGGTTTGTTTCAGAAAACAACTAATTTTTTTATTTTATTAGTAATTAAAAATAAAATGAAAAAATATAAGAGTTTTTTTTAAACTTTTTACAGACTATTAAGGCCTCAACAAAAGAGGTTTCATTAATGAATGGATATCTAGGTCAGATAATGCTGCATTACCAACTCAGCCACACTTAAAAAATAATAAGGTTGATATATTTAATAATTTTTAGAATATTTAATTATTTATAAAAACAGAAGTATTATAATTATTAAAATATCTTTTGTTATTACTTCTTTATTATCTATTGTTTCATAACTTGAGTCAGATGAATCAGATTCAGATTCTTCAAAATCATTTGAACTATCTTCTGAGTCTTCATCAGAATCAGAGTAAAATGTTTTTTTTTTGTTTGAAGATACTCTATTTGTTTTATGATGATTAATAGATATTTCGTGTTCATCAGGTGTTGCAACATATCTAACACTTGAATCAGTTGGTTCTTCAGGAAATTGAGGAAGATCCTGATATCCAATTGCTCGACAATTAATATAATGTGATAAAGATCCCATTTGAAATTCTTCACGATCTAAACACAAAAATACTTTTTAAATAGATTGAATTTTTTTTTAATTGACTTTTTTATTGAATTTCTATGAGAGAGAATATTTCATACCAACAAAATTAGATTGTAATAATGGAGCAGGTTTCTCAGCCAAAAATATGTTCTTAGATTGTTTGCTTAATTTACTATTTATAAATTGTTCAGGAGGAAAGAGAATATTATTTAAAAACCTAGAACGATCTCTTATGTCATAGTTTTGATCATATTTAGCTTGTTTCAGTACATACTGACATAATAATGTTGTTTGATCTGGGTTTGTTAAAAATAACTTAACAGCTAAGTTCATAACTTGCAGTTTTACAATATCTTCCTAAAAAAAAATTGTAATAGGAATTTTCAATTTTAATAAAAATAATGTTTGCATAAGTTTGTTTAATTCAAATAAGGAAAGGCTTAAGAAATTTAATATTTTATTTTTAAATCTACACTTTTACCTCAGATACAAATGTCTTGGCTACTTTACGTAGAACATCAGGTGCAATAGATGATACTAATTGTGAATATTCTCCAAGCAACCATAAAATTGACGCTCTTGCTTGAGGAACAGCAATTGAATCCATTAAACGAGCCATATGCTTTATTATATCACAGTGCGCTTCTGGTTGGTTTTGAAGTAGTTTTTTTATTACAACTACACTTTCAGCAACAACTGCTTCTATAAGTAGAATAGGAGAAATTTGTTTATAAAATTTTTAAATTCTATAAATACACATTCATTTTTTAGTGAATTATAAATATTTAATATTTTTGAAAGTATCAACTTATAGTTTAAGTAATAAAGTATTTTCAGATTAATATATGTGATAAAATAATTCTAAATTGCTAGAACACTTAAAATTAAGTTTCACACAAGCTAAGTATATTCTAATTTTGTCTAGCTAGTGTATTGTTACAGGTAAAATAGAAAAAATAGATATTGCAGTAGAATGATTAGACAATGTATACAAAGCCACAAATTTTAAGCTAAGTGATTATTACTTATAAAAAATTGAGTTATTTACTATTTTAATTTTAAAAAATTTACTTTTAGTATTTTTAGCATACTAAGTATATTATGATTTGGTCATTGTTTGTAATTCCCTTTTTATGTGTACAATTTTACTCATTGCATACAAAATTTGATAATTGAGAATTTCCTGATTTTTCACTTTACCCATAATACATATAAAGTGTATTAAACACGAAAAATGGTTTCATATCAGGCTACTAAATTTAGTACTGAACAATTTTGTGCTCAAATATTTATGTATTTGTTGCCCAGTCTTTTAATAAATAATGTAATAAGCTACTCAGTGAATTTATAAGTTAAATTTCAGTAATTATATGTAATAAAATAATTATACTGTATAAATATACAGTCAGTATTTTATTTCTAACATAATTATAAAAAAGTGTTCACTATCCGCAAAATCAATCTTTCAACTTCAAACAATATATTGAATAATCAATAAAAGATAATACTTCATTAAAAAGTTACCATCACGACTTGATAACATAGACACTAGCCCATTAAGACACGTTTCTGTAACTTCTTTGATGTTTGAAGCACACCTAAAAAGTAAATTAATTATTATTTTCATTTAAGGATTTATTAGATGACTTAAGGTTAATTTTGATCACTTTCCAAGAATAAAAAAGAGATATACTTATTGTTATAAATTTATATGTATAAATATTTAAATAGAGAGAAAATTACATTTTGCACTCCTAACAACAATATTACAAGATTTCTTAAATTGAAAACTTTTTAGTGTTAACATATTCATTTGAAATCATACATATATATATATATATAGTAATGATTCTATTGTATTGAATCACTTAATTAATCGAAAAATAAAGGATGTTCACTTTAATCATTCAAATAGTAACATACATAATTAACTAGCTTATTTAGTATAAAATGACTTAATTAAGAAAATAACTGATTAATAACAACTTTTAAACAAATATTTCAGAAGTTTTTAAAAATTTGTTACTTAAACAAGAGGTGAGTAAAGTTTAGAAAATAGCAGAACCGCAACTCACATCCAGTTATTACTTTAAATTGTTAACAAATTCTGAAATACTGATTCAAATATTGTTATCAACCAGTAATTTTAGCAAATTAATTTAAAAACTAAAATTACCTTCCTATAGCTTGGATAGCTGCTGCAACAAATTGTTTATCTGTACTAGAAATATAAGTTTGAACTTCACGAAGTATTGTTGAAATACTTCCTTCATTTGCTAAATTTGTCATTATATCAAGTTTCAAAAGTTTAATATGGGTAGGATCATTAGATCTTACAAAAAAACTTTTTAAATATGGCTCAAACATACTCTATAAAAATAATTTCATAATAGTATGTTAATAATTATTCTTGAATTATGTATACTATAATACTTAATAATATTACCTTTCTATCAATTGAAATAGAGGCAATAGAATTTAATACTACTGATTGAACTTCTCTATGACTTCTTAATAAACGAATAAGAGCTTTAGCAATGTTGTGCACTTCAGTTTTTGGAGCCAAGTGATGATATAATTGAGCAACACTCATAACAACCTGGAAAATAAAATTTGTTGAAATAGTTTACTTAAGTATATTACTAACTCAGAAGATCAGTTTATTGTTTGAAAATAATTTAATATAATAAAATAGATATAAAGTCAACATATTTCTTGTTGTTTGAAGTGCTTAAGGATGTATCCATGTTTACAGTTGAGTTCTGACGTGTTTCGGACTCATTGCAGAGTCCATCTTCAGAGTGATGGTTGCTAGTCGATGGCTGCAACTATACTGATAGTATAGTTATTAGTTTAGTAGTTGCAGCTACTGACTAGCAACGATCATATTGAAGATGGATTTTGCAATGAGTCCGAAATATCAGAACTCAACTGTAAACATGGATACATCCTTAAGCACTTCAAGCAACAAGACAATCCATAAAAGCTTTAACACATTCATCAACATCTTCCCTTTCAAGTTACTACTTATAGTAGATGGGATGAGAAAACCTATACAGCTCTCACAAGAATTGAATCTCTGTGCTGACTTATCAAAACATATAACACCTTAAACTTAACATTAGGTCTACTTTATAACATAGTTAAAATTTAAATTATAATTCATAATTTTTATTTTAAAGAAACCTACTGCTGCATTTCTACTTTGCAATAATGGTTTTGCATTTCTTAATAATAATCGATGATCTGGATCTAATACACATGCTTTTTCATTATCACCACAAACTTCTTCACAACTAGATAGATCTGAACTGTCTACATTTAAATTTTCAACATTTGTAATATCATCATTATCCTAAAATATATTTTGTTTATAATTTTTTAATTAATGAAATTGATCAAATGGATTTAAATAAATAGTTCACATTTTTATTAGGGTTGACAAATTGAGTACGACCATATCTTGTTAACATGTTCACAATAATTACTTGACCCCATTCATCAATATCAACTAATAAATTGCAAAGTTTTTTGTATATTTTATGAATTAAATCAATTCTCTCAGGACAAACCTAGAAAAATTATTAAAAAAAAATTAATTATTTTCCATATTAAAAAAACTTCAGTTTTTAATAATATGTTTTATAAATTAATTTAACACTTTATAATATTGTAAATCTAGCTTTATTTTAGTACTCCTGCAAAATCTAATAACTGTAACTTACTACTTATCTTGTCTTACATACACATAAAACAACAAAATAAGTGTTATATCACAGAAAAAGGACAATTATAAAATAACTATAAAAAACAGAAAAGTTTTGCTATCAGATAAAATGTTTATGATATATACAATTATACACTATAATTTAAAATAAAAAATGTTAAAAATATTTAAGTAAAGAGTTATATATTTTAGTTTTAAATTAACATTTTAAATATTTTTTTAATTTTAAATAATATTAGCACAAATAATCAATTCTTATTATATAATCATTAATTACACATTAAGTCAGTCTAAGAAAAATTAACTTTAAAAATTAAAAACGCATACCCCAATTTTTTTAAGGATTATGAAAAAGTAATTCTTTGAAAATTTGGACTCTCTAACTTAACCCTTCCCGTGGTGCATCACGATTGAATATTCAAGCATTAGAGTAAATTTATAGTTTTTTTAGCGATTTATCTCTATGACGCTTTGGGCCACAGGTTCTAATTCTATTATGCCTTTTTCTTCATATGAACTCTGGTACACTTTTGATGATCGATCATCAATTCTCATATCTTAAAAAAAGACTTATAAATTAATTTTTTGTTAGTATTTATTATTTTTAAGTTTTTACTGGAAAATTCCCCTTTTTTTTTTTTTTTTTTTAATATGCTTATATTTAACAAACTACTTATTTTACAACTTGATGTTGTAATGTTTGCATTGCGATTCCAAATTTACCAATGGATTGCGATCACGTTGCTTTGGTTTTTAAACCAAACTATGTCAACTCTGAAGAAAAAACATGACACTTTCAAAATACATAAGAATTTTAAAGAAGTAGCAGGAATTTATAATGTAAGAAATAGTGGGAGAATAACCACACAATGGTTACAATCTAAATTCATAGCACTTCCTAAAAAACCTAGGACCAAACATTGTAATGACTTTCCTATTATTAGTCTTATGAGCGACTAATCAAAGATTTTTATAAAAATCATACATCAGAGAATTTTTAAGAAATGCGAAAATCTCAATTAAATAGTACATAATTTGAATTTAGAAATTTAGTTGGTACAAGAAAGGCTATTTTTAGCTTACAAATATTAATTCAAAAGGCTAGGAATATCAATTGCCGTCAGCTTCCTGGTTAGATTATTATCATCTCTACGTGTTCAGCAGGTTATATTGTTTATTTAATATTTCTTTATTTAATAAATATTTATATACTTATTAACTTTATGTTAACCTAAAGTGTTATATATATATATATTGTAGTGCGACCCTTAGTAGTTCCTCTAAGGGAATATAAATTAAACCTCAGTACCTAAGGTAGCTATCCCTTGTTGATCCCTTAGAATACTGTTTACGGGCATCTATGCTCAGCCCCTAAATAGTGAAGTAACATAATACAGCATATGAATATTCTTAGATAAATTTATTAGAGATGTTAAGTTCGTGAACGAATAGTTCATTTGAACTATTCACTTAGATGAACTATTCTGAACTGTTTCAGTACCTGTAACTTAACAGTTCACAGTTCGAAAAAAATTGGTAGCAATGTATAAATGAAATAGTTCGCGAACTTCTTTAAAAATTCTTTGTGGTTCGTTGTTCGAAATACTGTAAATGGTTAATAGCTGTTTACAATTAGATAACAAATAAATTATATTGTTAAAATGTTACAGGGTTTTTAACTGTTTAACAATAAAATAAATTCATACTATGTAAAAATATTAGATCAAATTTCTGATTTAACTTAAGACTACTGGTCAGTATATCTACCTTGAATTAGGTGATAATGATAACATGAGCCATGAGGGTATTAATAATAATTTTTTCTTAGTTTATGATGTTCAGGTTAAGGGTTAGTTTATAACTTAATTGCCCATAAGTAGTGTGAACTACAACTGAACTGTGTACTGCTATACTAATAGTGATAAAATGAATAGTTCATTGCCAAACAATATCAGCATGATCAATAAAATTAGTGAACTTAAGAATAGTTCATTTGAACTATTCACTTGAATGAACTATGAACTAATGAACTATTCACAGAAATGAACTAAACTTTCCATCTCTAATATTAATGTAAAATTACAAACGCGAATATTGATTGCTTAGTATTTTATTATAGTTATTTTAAAACTACTTTTGTCACTGTTATCATCCTTAATACATATAAGTGTTAATTAATGTTAATATTAATTTTTGGTTTTTTAATAATAATATTTATTTATATCAATATATTTATAATTAGTTTTATTTGTTATAAAACTAAGTTTTTTTTTATAGTTAGTTATAAGTTTTCTTATTTTTAAACATAATAGGAATTAAAATTGTTATATGATTTGAAAGAACTTATAATTTCATTTTTAAATCTACAAATTAAAGTTTAAAATAAAATAAAAATTTATGTTGATATAATTAAAATAATTAATGATAAAATCCAATTACTCATTGTTCCAATATCAACTATAAATTTAAATATTTGCTTATCTATGATACTAAGTTTTTTAATTGAATGATCATAACTCAAAATGCAAAAACGATGAAAATTTTTTAAATGGTGTTATTGTTGGATCTGATAAATTTATAAAAAAACAGATAATTTATAATATTAGATTGCAGACAATGCACATAAAAATGTCCTTTAAAAAAAATCTCTTAACAAATAATACAATTTAGTACTGTTATTAATAGTGATGGTAAAAAAATTTAAGATACTACACTGGTTCCTCTAAATAAAGCATGAAAAATGAATAATTGTATTCATGGAATAATAAATTATTAGCATAAAAATGATACTATTTCACCTATTCTGCCATTAAATTATAATACTTCAATTTTAAATTAAATTAAAAGCCATTTATCAATATAGCAATGTTAAGTTTTGACAAAAAATCACTACACCAAAGTAAGACTATTCAAAGGTGCATTTGCCTGATGGGCTATGTTTATAGAGCAATGAAGACTGCTTACTTAGAATAATCTGGTTTGTAAAAATTTTTTTAACTCTTTTTTTTTTTATAACAATAAAAATATTTTTTGAAGTGTCACAATCATTTACTCTTTATAACCCCCTAATTTGGTAACCCTAAATTTTTTACTTATTTTCAGGATTTATGACAACCCTGAGACAACATCAATTACCAAGCTTGAGATCAGGTCAGTATTTCAACCTATTCATTCATCGTTAACTAACCATTTATTCTACAGTATTGTTGTTAAGAATTCATTTATCAAAGAAAACTGCTATGGTTTTTTTATCAATCATGCAATAATAAATTAATTTTTTTTAACTATATTAAAATTTTTACCTCTTCAAAAGCCATTACTGTAGATCCGACCACTAAGGTTGATTTATCAGCCAAAAGTTTTTCTATAACTGAAATTAGTTCTTCCTTTTGATCAGGATCCAAACTATAACATTATTATAATCAATATGAAAGAGGAAGCTTGTATAGCACAATTAGAAATTACACAAAAAGACTGAAATTCTTAAACATTGATTAAATTTAATTTTCCTGAACTTAATGAACACCGTGTGTTTAAAGTATAACAACCCTAATAAGGCTGCAGACATAAAATAAATAATTTATCAAATTTCAGTTGAAAATAAAAAAAAAAAAAAAATTGTAAAACAATTTTTTTAGTTCAAAGAATATGAACATAAAAATTTATTCCTCAAAAAAAATTCTAAACAATTACTGACTAGGTCTAATGCAATTTTTTTATTACATTTTATTAGGTATAGTAATTTTTCTTTATACCTGTACAACTTTGGTATAGCATGAGCAGCAGTCTTACGAACATAGGGTGACATATCTGCAGCTGAATCTTTAATAGCTAACATTACTATAGGAACAATCATTACAACTCTTATACTTGATAAAACTCTTAAAGCAGAGGCTCTTATTAATTGATTTGGATCCTAAGGAATAAATCATATGAATAAAATTAATTTAAAACTATTTTTAAAATATAAGATGATTAAAAAAAAATTAATTATATATACATCAACCACATAATTTAGTTCTTAAAAATAAATTTGTAAGTTACAATTTTTGATTGTACAAATAAGGCCAACTGAATAAAAATATAATAATATTTTAAGTGCTTACCGTTAAATAAGAGACATTTGTAAAATTATTTTATTATCATTATTAAAAGCCACATCATCAGCTACCAGGCAAAATCTCATTATTTACAAGACAATGAAAAATTTTACAATTTTGCACTTGTTTATGTAGAAAGAAAGTTTAGTTATTGAGCATTTATATGAAGTATTTTTCTTGAGACACTAATACACTTAAAAAAGTAACTTGTACATATATTTTCCAAAAAAATTACAAAAATCAGATTTACAAGATTTTTTTATGTAACCAGTGATGTGACTTTTAATAATATTTATAAAAAAATGTGATTATAATTATATAATTTAATACTTTTACTGAATGTCTGTGATATTATATACCTTTAATGCTCTCTGAAATGTAGAAATAGATAATAATGCTAAATCCTGTTGTTGCTCAGCATAACGAACTAAATAAACATAAACTAATTTTTTCACTTCAATATTTTTAGACACAACATTTTTTACAACAGCTGGAAATAATTCAGAAGCGTCTCTCCCCTTAGCAATCATCTGAAAATTTAAGCAAAAACCTTTCTAATCTCTTATACTAAAAATTACAAAAGATAACAGTAGATTACAAAAAAAAAGACAAAGATAAATACTATTTATTAAACTTACACCAATTATCCGTTTCATAGCTTCTAATTTTGGTCCATCTTTTGTAGAATCTAACATTTGTTTTAAATCATCATGTCTGTAATAAAATATAAAACAAGTTATAAATTTTTGTCCAAAACGTATATTTTTTGAAGTTACTACATAAATTAGCCCCTTTAAATAGAGGCTTACTNCATCATGTCTGTAATAAAATATAAAACAAGTTATAAATTTTTGTCCAAAACGTATATTTTTTGAAGTTACTACATAAATTAGCACCTTTAAATAGAGGCTTACTTTTGAAACTGTGTCATAAATGAAATGAAAGAAAAGAAGCAGATAATAGGACAATAGAACATTGTCAGCAAAAGTTTACAAAGTTCAAATGTAGACTTAGATATTTCTTCAGAATTATTAAATTAACTAGTCAAGATTTTAAAAATTTATAGAGAAACTGTATTAAATCCAGCTAAATTGGAAAGTCACATAATCACCATTATTTAAAAAGTTTCCATTAAATTTAAAACACCTAGATAGAGAAAGAAAAAAATCAACGTTTTCTTACGAAGTTAGCGATGGCCTATTAAAAGATCCGTAAGAAGACACTTCTATTTTTTAGTGTTGATGGCGCTGTTCATATAATCACAACCCGATTAGAGTTTAAAGAATGTTTGGTTTATTTATATAGAATTAGGAAACTTAGTTCTAAATCTTAAGAGCAACTGAGATCTTATTATATGGACTTGGCATTACATTTTCAATCTGAAGATGAAAAAGATATTTGTGCGTATGATTTATTTGAAGAACTTATTAAACAAGAATTTGTTAAAATGTAGTTGAAGAATCAACAACACCTATTGATGTACTTGATTTTATAAAGAAAAAGTAATGGAGATTTTTCGAACTAAGCCTTTAATATTAGGATTTTGTAATTAATCTCAAAAACTTCATCTAGTGCAGAACACAGAATAAATGTAAATAATAAAAATTAAATGGTGAAAATTATATAATTTGTAAATTTTCCATAATACGTAAATTGTAAATTTTAAAACTCTAAAAGTGGTGTTAAAATTATTTCTCCATCATCAAATTTTCACCAGAAATTTTAATTGCCTAAAGGTAAGAACTAATATGAGTAAAACAGTACTAGTTCCATAGTGATAGCTTATTTAGATGTGAAGTTATAGGCTCTAGAACATAAGGTGTTTTTTAATGTTTTTGATTATAAAAAACTAATTTGATTATTGTTGATAATCGTGTTTATTTGGATTTGTTATTATAATAATATATGAGAAAAATTCTGTAATTGGAGTTGCCATTTCATTATTCAGCAATGGACTTACCACTCTAAAGTATAATAGGTTAAAAAACCTACCAATTGGAAAATGCCTTATTATCCTTTAATAGACCATATAAGAGAAAAAAGAAAACTAACTTTTTATAATCAGAAACAAAGAATGATGATAATCCACCAGATGCAGGATCGTTGGTATAATCAGTTTCTGTTGTAGATGTAGGCAATCCATTTTTGTCGTATGCTCCATTTGTTCCACCAGACATGTTAAAATAACTGAAAGTCAGTGAATTAAACAGAAATACCTTGTAATAAGTCATTCATATTTACTTTATCAATACTTTTAAATAAAAAAAAAAAATTCAAATTAGTTTAAATTTATGGTAGCTTACTTAAATTGAGAGAGAAAACTTTTATCAAATAAAAAAAAAATTCAATTGAATGATTTGTCAAATTTACTGAACCTCGAAATAAATGTAAACTTAAGATTTTAATTTTCTACTAGTTTAACATAATTGTTAAAAAGAACTATATAATCTAGAATATATATCTAGAACCATGATAAAAATCAATAACCTAATTATTCTACTAGTAATAAATAATTTAAACATTTATCACCAGAAATAAATATAAACAATAGATAAAATACTATTTAATCTATGATAATGGTTCTCGAAGCACGGACGCTATCATAACAGTTTTCGTAATTTACTTGCCTACTTTACAGGCGAATCAGACCGAATATTCCGTTTAGTTTTATAAGTCTATGCATCTTATTTCTTCAAGTATAAATTAACTGATATTTTTTTACAAATTTATTATGAATAAACCCAATATAAAAGGATTAATTTAAGACAATTTAGGTTGAAAACTTCTTAAATTTTTTGTGAAAGGGTCGCCACGATTTTTTTTTTAAAGGGCTATATGTAGCTCTATCCGCTGTATCTGATAACACTGGTGTGTAGTTAACTTATATTTAACTGATTACAGCGAATGGGGAATTAACGAATAAAATGAAAAATTAGTCTTTTTATTATTATTTTTAAAATAAATGGGATTTTTTCTAATAAGTTAAATAACATATGTTATACCTTAAAACTAATTTTACATTACTAACAATAAATATGGAAATAAAATTAATTTTTCAAATTTTTTTAAGTAGATTTTATAAAGGTCATTTTTAAAGTTTTAACTCATTTAATTATAAAAATAATCGTATTGATTATTTCAAGGCTCTAATATAATATTACCACCGAATTTATGTTGACATGAAACATTCCACATCAAATCACTTAATGATCATACTAGTAATTTTTTTTTATGAAAAATAATCTCTAAACAACTTAGAAATTCCAATTAAATTTTTTGATTATTATTATTATGTACTAAAGAACTAAGCAGAATGTTAATTTCTTTTCTTTAAAAACTCCCAAATTTGTTCATTATTATGAACAATACTAGTTTGAATCTTATTTAAATAATCTGAATTATGTCTGAATATATTTTTACATCTTAGTCTTAGACTTAAAAACTCACTATACAGTGAAGGACCCTGTTCCTTTAATATCTTTATAAAAATACTTTTTTTTTTAAATTATGAAATGTAGCTCACTAGAAAATCATTGTGAGAAACAAAATTTACTTGGGTAATCATAAAAATAAATCTATCTAATAGTAGAGTGATAACATATTCATAAAAACTTTCATTTGCAATATTTACGTTAACACACAATTAAGACCAATCAACACTTGTAAGAGAATGAGAGATGTTAACATAGTTATTATGTTTAAAATAATAAAAACAAGAAGCATTATCATTATTTTGCTTTACCTTTTAAAATAAAACTTAGGTTACAATAAGATTTTTATTGAACTTTACCTCATAAGATATGAGCATTATACAACATTTATCATTTTTAGAAATGGAATAAGTATTTAACATCCCTCTATCATTTAAAATAATGGTAAGAAAAAAATTTTAATTTTTATTGAGCTATAATAAAAATATTGTAAAACAAATGATATAACTTATTTGTTATATTTTATACTTACAAAAAAATAATAAATTATATAAATTAAAACAATACAAAAGAAAAGAGATTTTTTAAATATTAATTAACTTATCTACAGTATTAATAACAAATAGCTGTATAATTGAAAAATTAATGAGTAATTATATACTTTTTTTAATTAAAACATACAAATGTGAATAAACAAAAATTAAATTAATGGATTTTTTTTTGTAATTATATTTCACAATATAATATAACCTGAAATTGAAGATACAGAATTTAATTGATAAATTCTTAAATATCTTTAATAAAATAAATTATTGATTATTTCTCGAACATTATAATTCAATATTTGATCAACTATATTTAGTTTGTGTAATTATGATATGGTTCTGTACAAACCAGTTTGTTCTTTGAATGTCAGAACTTTAATTCTTTTATTGCTTGAGGAAGATCTGGAAGTTTCATATCTTTTAATTGTTGTGGTATATTCATATTTTTCATAGCTGAAACAGCCCTAGATGGTGCACCAGCAATTCCAGCCTAATTGTTTTTAAATAACTCTTTTAAAAATAATCATATTGATGAAAAATTATTTTAACAAAGATATTAACAAATTCTTGACAATTATAAAATTGTGAAGAATTTGTTTATAATCTACTAAATGTTTTATATATTTCCACCATAAAAATTGTTATGTAATATACTATAGCTAAATACAGAAATTTTTATATTAAATTGAGTTCACTTAAATAAATCTTATAAATGAATTAATACTTGTCAGAAAAAAAAATAAATTAATTTGTATTACTTCTTGCTTTTCCAATTTGTTTTGTTCTTCAATACGTGAAAGAATCTCAGTCATGTTAGTTTCCAGTACCATGCCACCCATCACTAATTCATTTAATATATAATGAATCTAAAGTTTTAATAAAAATAACAAAAAATTACAACATTTTATAATGAATTTTATAATTATGAACAATAACTGTTGCATCAAAATTATAGGTATGTAGTATGTAAGGTATTTAAAATTATACTATTAAAATAAAATATAGCTTTGCAGATAAAAATTAATTTTAATTAACAATTAAAAAAAAAATAAATAACTACCTTGTCAACATGAAAAATGAGGTCAAGTTCACAAACATTTTCAAAACATTTATCGAGGGTTTCAACAAACACTTGAATTAAATCTAAAATACCAAGTTCGGATTCTGATGAATCAACACAAAACACAAAATATAAAGTTGCATAATGGCGATAAATCAATTTGTAATCTGATCCTCCAATGAGGCTAAAAAGTATAACAATTATAACTTTATTTGTATCATAGAAAAATAATAAAAGAAAGTAAATAAGATTTATTCAAATGGTTGGTGTCCCACAGAAAAAAATCAGGAGATCTGAGGACAATTTATTTCCTCTCCTCTTAAGGAGATGACATAGCCAGCGGAATAAACAACAATGTTATTGATTAAGAACTTTGTGGCAATCTTTTGGTACCTAACCTCATCTAAGACTTCCTCGTCAAATTATTTGCTTAAATTTTGTGAATCAAGGTTAAAGAAGTACTTTAACCTAGCCACATAGCAGTTATATGTTACATTCACTGTTTTTCGTTTTGGGGTTATTGATTCTTGTTTTTTTTTTTTTTTAAGAGTGGCTTTTAAATGGTCTCTAGTAATTTTTTCTGTGTGGAAAGTTAAAGAATGAGGTCTACAAACACCACCATGAAACTTAGAAGAATTTAAAACCGAAATTATTGAAAAAATCACAGCAATTTCATGAGAAATAGTAGCACAAGCTATGTGAAGTTTTCATTTGTGCCTTAATACATGTGTCTTCAATGTAGGTTGTTATATGTCAGATGTGGTTTATCAAACATAAATTGCATATCTTTTTAAATATATTAAAAATATTGAATTCAAGTAAGTTTTCATGTTTATTTTAACATTACTTTTGTGTCCTAACCTGTATTATACAAATGATTAATTTATTGATGAGTACTAAATTTCTTTTAAAATACTTATTTTAAAATTTATTTTTTGATTTTACTTAGTATTATTTATTACTCAATATTTAGGTAATTAAATAATTTTTAGGTCAATTCCTTATTTTTTGTGAGTGTAATAACTTAATTTTTTTAAGTAGAAATATATATATTTAAATAGTCTGTATAGTAAAAAATGATTCAAATAAGGAAATGACTGGTCGATAACAACTTTTGAACCATTAGATAGAAAATTATTGACATTTTAAATTATAGACTGCTGGAGAGATGCATGTTAATTTATTTTTATCAACATACATTTTTCTGCTGCACTGCATTTTTGACTCAGGAATAAAAATATACTTAACTCTTGAACTACTGGTTCAAAATTTGTTAAAGACCAGTCATTTTCTAATTTTTGAAATTAGTTAAATATGTATATTGCCATAAAAAAAAAAAAATTGGTACCCATATAGAGGATAAGAGATGAACATTAATAACAACTTAAAAATTGAGAAATAAATAATACAAAAAAAATTCTCAAAATTATTATTATTTTAGGAGAAATTTAGTGGTTAACAATAAATCAATCAACCTGTACATATTATATTACTAATATTATATGCTAATTACCTATTGTGGCATACATTTTTATTTGAGTTTACAAACAATTAAAATATATATAAAAGATACAATTTATGAGTTCACACTGCTTAGCTGTCGGGAAAATTTTTAATGAAGTTAAATAATCATTTGCTAAAATTCACTAGTATTTAGAAGAGACAAAAAGTAGGTAAACAATCAATAAATTATTAAAAAAAAAAAGTTTCTATCTGTAAAGTAATAATGAACTAAAAATTTATTTGGATATAAATACTCCATACGTCTATTTAATAAAAGATTTGCACACAATGGCCCTATAGGTCTGAATGCATGAGCAGTTCTTATCCACCTCTATAACTAATAAAAATGTTCAACTAAATTAATTATTTCCAAACAAAAGATTTAAATTAATTTAATTTGTTAAATAAATTATGAAAATACTGTTATCAATTTAATTGATTAATTTGTAAATACAAAATTTAGTATTTAAATGTATAAATAATTAGAAAAACTATATTATTATTTTCTAATTTTATTATTCACTACCAAAATTTTTAAATTATATATTTTTTATTTCTAGGGTGGCTAGTTGGGAATCTATATATTTTAACTTTTTTAAGCCATTAAAAAACAATTTTGTTTTAATGTTCACTTATTATTATCATCACTTAAATTTATTTTTGTTTGGTTGGAAGGTGCAGTAAATTATATTGATCGGGGAACAAGTTTTGATATAAGCCAGTGAGTATAACATACAATTTTTAGTTTAGGACTTATCATATTTGGATTTTTTTAACCAAATATTATCATATATATTTTCGATAAATCTGAACGAGAAAGTAAACTTATAATAATTAATTTTACTTTAGATTAATAGAAGTAAACTTATAATTATATTACCTTCCACCTTCAAGGAAATTACACACATTATCATCACGCTTCGATACTAATTGAAAAGTTTCCTTAATAATTTGTTGTTGCATATCTTCATTCTAAAAAATTGATATTTTAATGAGTTGGACCAAAAACGTCAAGTCAAATTTTAACTTACAAAAAATTGATAAAACTTAGAAAGCCTAGGTTTTCCATAATTATTGAAAACCAATATTGCTTTAATCATCCCAAGTTTTAAAATGATCAATTATAATTTAATTTTTCAATTTGTATTTCAGTCATTAAGCCTAAGAGTTTTTAACTACTATAGTTTTTTGTATTACAAGAACTAAAAAATTTTAATAATCAAAAATAGTTAAATTAGATAACAATTTTCAAGTAAATGTAGATAATAATAAAAGGTGTCTGTAAAGTTAGCAATTGTAATCAGTTAGTAGCACTTAGTATACTTGTCTATGGCACTAGTTACTGTCTGAACATTGTACACATCCATCGTTAGAGGGCGCCCCTATTCTACATAAAATATTATGTTAAATGCATAGAATTTTTAGAATTACCGAGACAATAGTTATTTTTGTTAGAAATTTAGGGAAAAATATGACAGAGGACTGGGAATCTAACCCAGATCTCACGGTAGCCGGGCAAGAGCTTTCTCTCTAAGGTACCCGACGGTCATGCTTAATACCCAATTCCCGAGTCTGTTAAATGATTGATGACATTATAATAATTATCTAAAAAATATTAATATAATATAATAATACAGAAAAGACGTTTGGTGGTGGGTGGCAATTTGGCAGTTTGCCCCAGTCTAATTTTTAATCAAAATTGGTGTCAGTTTATTCGCTCCTTTGCTAACCAGGCTATACTATGAGCAAGTTCATTCGTCGTTAAAAGCCAATGTATAATAATCAAAACAATTTAGTAGAAATAAATTTTTATTCAATAAAAAAAAAAACACTTAATTATATTAATTAGTCATACTTAATTATTTAAAATACAAAAAACTCATTTTAATAAGCTCTCTCTTGACATCTTAATCAGATACAACACAGATTCCTACTTTACAAAACAGAGTTTCTCAAACAGCCCGAGCTTTAAAATAAAATAAAATGTTGTCTAATAGTTTTGTCTGTAATTTTTAAACCTGAGTGAGTAGTTTTTGTTCCAAACAATATTTGTCCTAGAAAATTGTTAGAACAAAAGTTCAACTGATTAAATAATACTGGAAACTACGGCGGTAGGCCATAAGGTGTGCGTATAGTTATAGACAATAAACTAGATTGCTAACTCGCGATAACGAGCAGCTATTTGACTAAAGCTAAGTAGATGCCATATTTTTTGAGACTAAAGATTTTTATTCCTATAAATAACTTTAAAGAAACCACACATATACAATAAAACTTTTATTATATATCTGTGCATGGAACACAGTTTTATGAAAGAAAACCCAGAACAGTGGGGTCGCGGCACAGTTGGGTATATTTTTTGGGTATACGTATGTTTCAAGTTTTAAACGCTCCCTATATAAAGGGAAATTGTTCAATTTAAATTAGAAGTATGTTAAATGATAGAGGTATATATTTTGAAAAAAAAATTTGTGTTGATACATACTTTTTTCTAAAAGTCATAGTAATTTAAAGTTGAAAATATATAAATATAGTTTAAAAAAACTAAAAAAACACGCTTTTAAAGCACATCGAACTAAAAAGTTAAAAATAATTTTAAGCTTATTTTATAAATTATTTTTAACTTTTTAATTCGATGTGCATTAAAATCGTGTTTTTTAATCTATATTTATTTTAGCTTCGATGCGAAGCTGAGAAGGTATTAATTTTACTATGATGTGTTTTTTTTGTGTCTGTATACGCTCAATCTCAGCTCTCACTGAACCGATTTTGATGAATAATATGTCAAAAGATCACAAATCGTTTCTAGTTGAAGAGATTACCCTCGACATTTCGATATTTTTTCAATTTTTTTTTACTTAAAATTGACATAACTTTTTTAAAAATGACCGAATCAATATAATTTTTTTTATAGATACCTTAGATATTTACCTATCATTTTATATATATTTTTTAACATTTGACCCTTGACAAGCCCACAGGAAGGGGTTTCAAAATGGTAACTTTTTTACAAAAAATTAACTTTTTTAACTTAACTTTTGAAAATGTGCCGGAAAGACTGACACTTTTATATATACCTTAAATTAAAGCTAATGTAATATACTTTAACTAGGCTCCGCCCCAGACCCGGGGCCATTCGAGCCTTACGCGCCTTCGGCGCGTAAGCCTCTTCGGGCCGTCATCATAAGTAGGCCACTGATTCCGGTAGAAGTACCCGGCTACGCCGGGCACGATAAGTGTTTTTCAGAAAAAATATTACTTCAGAATCAGTGAAAACTATAGAAAACTATATCTAAAAATGTTATTATTAAAATCAAGAAAATTTAAAAAGAGAATATAGTAAAATGTATTGGGTATAAGGTTGAAGCCTCTTAATGAGGTATTTAGGTCTATTCAAAAATTATTTTAGGAGGAAATTTAATATTTTTTACTTTGTTAAACATGTTATAGAAATTTTTTTGC